CCTACAAATAAGCGTACAAGATCGCTTTTCCTCCTTCTCAAACAAATCGCTACCTTTTTACCCGATCTTGGTGAAGAGGGGTTAGCCTGCTTCTTGTCCCAAGATGGAGTGGAGGGGGAGAGAGAGTATCGCATGTATGTTGTCCTCAAGGAAGTCAACTCCTGAAAAGAAGCTGACAGAAAAAATCAAACTAAACTCTGAAGAAGAAAGCGCGGCCTGGTATGCTGACTGAATTCCGGCTGATGTCCATCATTGCTACAACACAGCTGCGGCGGCCCTCGACCGGCCGATCTGAATCGGGTGGTTCTCATGAAGAGTGAGACAACCTTAATATTGAAGTGTAGATGAAAACATAGAATTGCTCTTATTTGAACTACTGCTTGGACGCCATCCCAGTAGTGGATGCCGTCTTCTTTTGTGTGTTTTTTCCCAGATTTGCCTTAATTCAAATACGGTCTTTTAGTTTCTGTTTTTGAGTAGATAAGGTTTCGCGTCAGTTTTGCTTCACTAGCTAGCCATATCTTGATACTATTTATTTTTTGAATTAATCTTTAGATTTTTGCTACCTTGCATTATTACTGCTAGTTTGACTTGCAGGCGTGCCAGAAGATCTCGTCGATTATTTTTCTGTTGAGAAGAATCTTTTAGAGTTTCAGAATACCGTTAAGGATATCGCCATGATTTTCGACAAGGTAATCAATTTAGTGCAAACTTTTAACGATTGTTTTTTTTTTTTTGGGTTCAGGAGAAACGCGAGATCAAACTTAATTCTTTTGGGTCGATCTCACTCAAAAAGGCTGTCGTCCTTAGCGAGATGTACTTTAGAGTGAGTATAGACTTGTAGAAGTTGTGGCTAATTAATCACATATTTTTTTAAAGGACGTACGTCTGAAAAACCAGCTGCGCGCCCGAGCTGAAGAGGCTGAACGTATGCTGCAGCATGGCGGTCAGCGTAACGATCGAGATTCTCCATTCATAGACGAGTTCGAGTTAGTTCTGGTGTTTCATCCTTTTCTTCAGCTACGCTTCCACATTTTCAAGGGTTGCTGCCGATCTGATGGGACTGGCTATTGGTACACATGGTTCAAATATACAAAGAGCCCGCAATGTCGAAGATGTTGACGATATTCAAGTATTTGAAGGTGGCGGCGATGGGCAACCCTGTATCATTAAGGTATTGTTGAAGCCTGCTTTGAACTTTTTGTTGTAGATTTACTTCAAAACGATATCGTACTAAGTTACCGCTGCGTTGTCTTGATGTGGGCTTGTTTAGTATTGTTAAGATTGTTGATAGCCCACATTACTATGTGCAGCTAGCATGACCATACAGTCGCTCAGTTGAGGTTATATTCTCGTTGTCCATATTATAGTATGTTATCTTGAAAGGTTTCGTGCCTCACAATGAAACAAGTTGTCATTTTGCATGCAGTTGCCAACGAGATTTTATTTCTTGCTCATGTCTAATATTGTTTGATTCATTCATAGGGTATGCTTTTGCATAGGAGTGTTCGCTTC